ATTGCCACAAAAATACGACACACTGCTACAAGTATTTTTTGGCAGCAAGGCAAGTAAGTTGTTTGTCTGACTGACTGACCGTCCCTCTACCTGCATGTATGTATGTATCCGTGCTTTCAAGTTTATTCAATCTCTTGGGAGCCGTACTTTTGGCTGCCTGTATGAGGTTGATTGCGGCACGAATACCGACACGTAAATGAGAAGCAGGAGGCCCGCTAGGATTGCAAAATGCAATTGACAAAATATGAGTCAAGCTTGACGGAGTCAATGATGGGGGATCGAACCACGAGTGTTTCTGCTGGTGTTGGTTCCAGGTAAAGGAGAAGCACCGCCGCAATACGCAATAGCCAGCGTTGCGTGCATGAATATTGCACGCAGTAGGCGCTGAAGAGAAGGCGCCCGAGAGTCCAACAAATTGACTTGCCTACATAGTTGGTCGTGGATGGGAGGACCAACACATTGCTGCATGACGTGCCGCGTGGCCCGTTGCCGGTGTGCTTTACCTTATCATAACTGCAGGAAACCAGAAAGCCTTGGATTTATTTGGTTTAGCAGTCGATCACAAAACATGTTGGAACTGTGAACCAATCAACATTCCGCTACTTTTGGTAAAAATGTATCAGGCATTCTCTGTTGAGTGGTGCTGCACCTAACAAGCGTTGGATGGGTAGACCTAGTGTTTATCAGCAGAATCTTTCAGGGCGCTTACCAGGCGCCAACAACCCTGTTGCAATCAGAGCGTCAAATTGAAATGACTTGTTGGGGCTCTTTGTTCACACGGCTTACCTCGCAGCCGCTCACTGTCAAGCTGGGTACGCCAATCCTTGCCGTTTCCCGCCATTTACAGGATGGGCCTGCACCTGGCTGATGCAGCTCTGGTGCAGCCAGTCCAACTTCGCGACTGAATCAGTGCCACGTCGTTGTACATGGCTGCGAGAGCAGTCTACCAAGGTGCCATTTCAGTTCTCCCTTAAGATGTGAGGATGTCCCTCTTGTCCCATTATCCACTTTTATTACCAACTCAGTATCAAAGCAATGCCAAGAAAGCCTCGGCAGGATACGATAGGTTCAAGGCAGCGATGTAGCAGGCAGATGGTATCTATTGTATGCTCGTCCGACTTGGACGGCCTCCCGCATACCTCGTCAGCGGCTTGGCAGTAAGTCTTGAAGGGACAACTGCAGGCTGGGAAAATTGGTTCACATTGTGACACATGAACATGTTGTATACTTTCATCTCGTCAGAAATCAAGTTACAACCGGGCCAACTAATTTGCACTGGTATCCAGTAGATCCCAGCCCCAGAGCCCTGACGCCAGCCTTCTGCCGGGATTATCTCAAGCCTGACTCAAAAAAATCGCAGGAGTGGTTTGCAACACGGACAGCCTTGCCTATATTTACTGGAGGCGCAATGCGCACCAACACAGAGTAGGGCCAGGCGTCTTCGTTGGCTAACTCCGCAGACACAGCCACCTCGACCTTCCTTGGTACTAGTAATTGGCTACGTAGTATTTCCAATTAAAATGCCGGTTAGTGCGCCCTGGTCCCATGCCTATTCCTCACAGTGAGCAGTTCCTAATCCCTGCGTTGCTGTAGGAGGTCATACTCCGGTCGTCTCCTGAGCAAAAGACACCCGTTCTCACTTCATATATATATAAACCAGCAGTCCATGCCTTGAGATACCTCCCCTTCAATTTCTACTTCATTCATCAAGTATCTTTCTTTCCATATCATTCATCCCGCTGTAATGTCTCCCGAGCCCAGTAGCCAGCACCTCCCCCTCTTGACGAGTGCGGATCGCCTCCAAAAGATCGATCAACTCCGAGAAAGAAACATCGGCGTATACCTACCTCTACCACAGCTCGTGGCCGTGGGTGACCAAAGCTCGGGGAAGTCGTCGTTGCTAGAAAGCTTAACGGGGATCCCTTTCCCCCGCGGCCAAGAGCTTTGCACACGGTATGCTACCCAGATCACACACCGCCGCGAAGCACAAGAACGAATCGACATCAACATCATTCCTGGGCCACATGCCTCACATGAACACAAGAAGAAGCTTCAATCGTACCGCAGGCAGGTAAAAACGACTGCACAGCTCCGCATAGATTTTCCCGACATCTTGGCAGAGGTAAGTCTTGCCAATCCTAAAATGGAATCAGATTCCGCATCTAATTCCTGCAACAGGCCAACGCTCTCATGGACATTAAAACCACTGACAACCCAGCTGGCGAGAACACCTTTTCTGAGGACGTACTGAAAATTGAGAAATGCGGCCCTGACGACGATTATCTTACTATCATTGATGTTCCCGGCATCTTCCGCACGACTACCGAAGGTGTCACTACCAACAAGGACAAGGAACTTGTGAAGGACATGGTTAAGAGGTATATCAAGGACAGTCGAACCATCATCCTTGCCGTTTTGCCCAGTAACGTCGACGTCGCCACCCAGGAGATCCTTACTCTGGCAGAGGAGGCTGATCCAGCCGGCGACCGGACCCTTGGAATCTTAACCAAAGCCGATCTGGTGACGGAGCGTACTGCCAGACACGCCGTAGTGAATTTGGTTGAAGGCAAGCGGAAACCCCTCAAGCTTGGGTACCATGTGATTACCAACCGCGGGGGTGACGATGACGGCGAAGAGGACAATGCCCTAGCTGCTCTCCGCAAGCGTGAGGCTATCTTCCTGGAACATCCTTGGGACGACCTCCCGGAAGATCGTCTCGGAATACACGCACTGAGGGAACGGCTGGAGGAGCTACTTGGCGAGATTACTGATCGTGCATTCCCCGAGCTCCGTAGTGAGACGCGCCAGAAGCTGGCGAATGCCGTGAAAAAACTCAGTGATCTCGGAGCGCCTCGTCAGACAGAGCGCGAGCAACAGCAATACCTCGTCGGCATTGCAAGCAACTTCCAGGCTCTGGTCCGTGCCGCTCTGGATGCTGACTACTCGGCACATCCGGCATTTGACAGTAACGCCCTGCGGCTTATCACAGCTGTCGTCAACATCACAGAACAGTTTAACGATGATTTCGAAAAGTTTGCTCGCACATATCTCTTCGAATCAGAGGAGTCGCGCAAGGTTACCGTTTCAGAGGAAGTGTCTACTCCTGGAAGCCCTGGCCTCTATTCTCAAGACGGTGAGAATAACGAGGAGGAAGGGGAAAGAAATGAGGATGACGATAGCGTTCTGCAGCTTGACACATTCGACATTCCTACCCCCGAGGAATTCCCCGACTTGGACAAAATCATTGTCGCCGATTGGTCTGTTGACTATCCGAAAAAGGGTATCATGAAGTGGATTGAGACTGTCCACAGGCGGTCCCGCGGTCTGGACCTGGGCTCCATCGGCCACGCTGTTCTTCCACAAGTATTCCGAGAGCAGTCCACTAAGTGGGAGAGAATCGCGAAGCAATTCCTCAGCAAGATTATCCTCCTCGTTCATCGCTTCATCTTGATAGCTTTAAAGGTAGTCTGTGCAGACTCCCAGGTGCTCCAGGATGTCTTCTCTGCCATCCTGAGCGACCTCTGCGCCAAGTATGAGGGTGGCATGAACCAGGCGACCTTGCTGGTGAATGTCGAGCGGCAGCTGAAGCCGTACACACTGAATCATTACTTTAACCATAATCACCAGAAGAGTTACGGCGTGCGGATCCGGGATACGCTGCGGCCCCACGCCCGAGTCGAACATGTTTACCGGGACCGACCCGAGCTCGTTATTAACCTAGATGCTGTTGCAGAGGCCGTTTCCAACAAGAGCAACACCGCACACGCCGCCGAGACCATCCACGACAACCTTGAGGCCTACTACAAGGTAGCGTACAAACGGTTTGTTGATAATGTCTTCAGCCAGGCGGTCGACTACAAGCTGCTTTCTGGCCCTGAGAGTCCCCTTCGGCTGTTCTCGGAGCAATGGGTCCTGGGTTTGGACCCAAAGACTGTGCATGCTGTGGCTGGGGAGTCTCGTCGGACGAGGGAGTGTAGGGATAGGCTGAAGAAGGAGATTCAGGACTTGGAGGTGGCGATGGAAATTTTGCGGGGATAGGCATGTTCTGCTCTTATTGGAAGCTTGCATGGCATACTGAAGCAGGGTCTTGCCGCCTGCATTTGCGGTCATGAATTGTAGAGTAGAACTGTTGGTACACGAAGGCTGAGACTGATATTTGGATTGGTAACCGGCCGGCATCGTATACTTCCCCTCTCCGGGTTGCATGTATTTAGCCGTCTCCATGCCTCCTTTCCTCTCGTACATTGTTTCTGCCATTACGCCTTGGCCGTCCTTTCTTTGCGGATCTCTTGTTTGTCCTCTGCTTGATTTCGCCTATTTTCTCTTGATTCTTGACCAAATTGAGAGCCAAACCTCGCATTATGAGCCGATGCCCGTTAGTGGGTATTAAAAAAAAAAAAAAACCAGTATCACGCAGCCAGTCATTTCGATGGTGGGGCATGGAAATGTGTGCGGCGAAGACCCGAAATCCGGTCAGGTGGGTAATAAAGGTGGGCGGCAGTGGATTTGGTCTAGCCGGGATTAGAGGAGGTGGTGGTCGTGCGTCTGTTCCGGTGGCTTGGCTCCGAAAGGTCTAGGAGGTTAAGTGACGATAATTCATAGTCATCGTATGTCTATTCATATAGAATGTACATAGCTATTTTCGAGTGTATCGGGCATGATACTTTTACCTTGCTTTTCTATATGTAACTATCATTGCGTGCCTGTACGACCTCAAGAGGGACCGCCTTGTATAGTACCTAAGTTCTTGTGGCTTGGGATAGTTGGATTTCAATAGGAGGAGACTTGTAGCGTCAGCGCCCCAATGCGCTTTAGGTACTTTATTTTGTCTTACATACCTATGCAATCAATTCTAACATAGAACAGGCTTCCTTTATACATTTTCATTGATCCTCTGCGTCATGGTTATTGGCACGCTGTTGAAGAATGAATACCTGCTGTTGTAGGTGGCTGTTCAGAGTACTACCTACTTATTAAGTTTTTACTGCGATATACATCAATCCGGCATGGTGTAGCGGTTAGCATACTCCGCTTTCATGGAAAGTCCCGGAGAGATCCGAGTTCGACTCTCGGTGTCGGAACAACTCTTTTTTTTCGTTTTGAACGCCTACCTTACTACCTAAAGTTTTTATTTGCCCTCTAGACCATTTTCGTAAGATTCACGATTAGACGAAATGTTTTCTAGATAAGAGACAAAGTGACCAATGTATATTGTAATATATAAATCCCCCGCCCCCTTTGATTGCATCGCCTAGCTAGTGGGAGGATCATCAATACTGAAAGCACACCAAGACTGCAACATACACCGCTTCCATAAGCGTAGAAAACACCATCATTTATGTGTCACTAGGTAGGACCGCGCATCGCCAGTAGTGTTACAAGTGCGTCGACCAGCATATTGACGGGTAAGCTGTGGGATTGACTTTTTGGGCCGATTAACACTCCATACGCTAGCTGGGTTACATCGGGCGGGGATCTCGCGCGAGACACGATAATCATTACTGCATGCGAGAGACTTGTGCAATACTGGCTCGGAAACAAGAGCACCCGGTCGCCTTGGTGAGGCTATGTTTCGTGCTGAAATAGTGCATAGTATAAATCTGCACAACTGTGCGCAGGTGGGGGCCGTAAAGATACTAGTATACCCTTGACTTACAACGTAGGTTGACCCATAAGGTGCTTCAGGGATCATCCGAGCCTTATGCAAAGTGCTAGCTCTCTTTCTGGTAACCCCGCTGCTCATTGCTCTTAGTCTAGAGTAAAGCGGATAACGGATTTAACGAGCATATACAGTACGGAGTTTGGAATGCAGTCCGTGACGGACTCCTTCGTTGTCCGCGTGGTTGCTTTACTGGTTATGGGTTTCTGAAGCGGGTCGAGCCCGTGACCATATATGTAGGTTGGTATGCGCTCTTCGGTCGGTTGATTATGAGACGACTTGTTCGATAGAATTTCTTCTCCCATTGTAGATGTCCATCATGTTTGTCGGACGAAGCATCCTTTCTGCTTTGACACCCTACAATGGGTTGTTACTTTTCGCCCTAACTCTTGTCCTAGTAAGTCTCTTGGTTTGCACGAGAACCAGCTAGCCAGACTTGAATCCTAACTCTCAAAAAGACAGTGGGATACTACTTCGCACTTGCCGTCTACAACATCTACTTCCACCCACTCTCCAAATATCCCGGTCCCCGTTTCGCCGCCGCGACGCCGTGGTGGACGGCGTACTCTTTATTCCGCGGTCGCACTCCGTTTGACCTCTTGGAGCTACATAACCGGTACGGCCCTGTGGTTCGGACGGCTCCCGATACCCTATCGTACATCAAGGCGCCGCAGTGGAAGGAGATCTACGGACACAAACAGATTGGTCAGCCCGAGTTCTCCAAAGACGAAAAGTACCATGCATCACTGAAGAGTGTGCCACTCATTATTAATGCGGACCGAGAGTACCATTCGTACGTTCGCAAGTTGCTCGCACATGGTTTCTCCGAAAAGGCAATGAGGGAACAGGAAGATGTTTTGCGGGAGTATATTGATCTGATGTGCCGGAAGCTGGAAGAAGAAGGCGACGGCGGGAAGAAGGCAGTTGATGTGATGCAGTGGTACAACGTGAGTTGATCAGAGAAGAGCCGAGAGAAGCAACGCACTGATCATCGGATACAGTTTCTCACTTTCGACTTTATCGGTTTTCTCAGTAAGTTGGTCCTTTGACACGGCGCCTTTAGTTTAGGCCCTTTCTAACATTATGAAAGCATTCGGCGAGTCATTCGACTGCCTCGCAACATCAACGCTTCATACTTGGATCGAGATAGCCTTCTCAACGCTGAGGCTCATGGCAATCTACCAGGCTATAGGCCGCCTCCCTAGCTTGATTCGACTGGCTGCCCTATTTGTAATGACGCCGAAGAAAGTTTCGTCGGAAGTCAAGGTCCTTTGGCAGCTGGAAAACGTAAGTGTCCGACTGGAAAACCCCGTACCAACGCAGAAATATCGTGTTGATTCACCATACAGGAGAAAGTCAAGCACCGTCTCAAGGTCCAGACCGCCGTGCCAGATTTCATGGATAAGCTGATTTCTGCGTATAATTCCGGCAAGATGACCTTTGAGCAACTCCAAGGGAACTCCCGGGTTCTCACCCTCGCCGGGAGCGAGACTACGGCCACGCTACTATCAGGTAACTCGACTCTTGTCTTGACAGCATGCATCATCATCTCAGTCTAACCGGTGAATATCCGCCCAGGCCTAACATTCCTCCTCCTTAAAAACCCCCGTGTCCTTGCCAAACTCACAACCGAGATCCGTACAACGTTTGCCCACCCCTCCGACATTACCTTCGTCGCCGTGGGCAACTGCAAATATTTGCTTGCCTGCATCGAAGAAGCCTTGCGCGTCTACCCGCCCGCCCCTTCACCGCACACCCGCATTGTGCCCGCGGGCGGCGCGACAGTCGACGGCGAGTTCCTCCCCGAAGGCACGTCCGTCGGCATCCCTCACTACGCCGCGTCCCATAGCCCCGCAAACTGGACACTCCCGGAGGAGTTTATCCCCGAGCGCTGGACGGGAGAAGATGACCGGTTCGCCGGTGACCAGCGGGAGATATCTCAGCCCTTTTCATTCGGGCCGAGAAACTGCATTGGGAAGAACTTGTCTTATGCGGAGATGAGACTGGTTATCGCTAGACTGTTGTGGCAGTTTGACTTGGAAGATGCCACAGCGGACGACTGGATGAGTGCGCAGAAGGTATTTGTGGTATGGGAGAAGGATCCCGTATGGGTGAAACTGCATCCAGTACGCCGGGGATGAGGGAGAAGTGGATGTTGTACCGCTCTTGTGGTTTTGGAGCATGCCGTCCATGGATTATATGCCTACCATACGAACCATTTCGGTGAACGGATGGTGGCGGAGAACTTGGGCGGGAAAATAGCATGCGCAAAGTGGCTCCAAGGGCGTGATCGGTAACTTGGATAAAAATTGAACAACATGGGGAACTTGGTGGGGTTGACTCGAGTCACCTACTAAATGAAAGTCTGAGTATATAGATGTATTGCTAGGACCCTGCCCGCTATTACCCAACGCTGGGCGTCATTATTTCCCTAGGTAATAGTGATTGCTAATGCCTCACGATGGGCAATTTGGAGAACGCTATGACGAACCTAGCGACCACTCTGCTCTACGCATGTCAGTTGGTGATAGGTACCACGCCGTCTATCTCTCTGCAGAGATCCCTTCGTATCGTGGCTATACTGCCCTCGTAGAGATCACGTAAGTAGGCCGTCTTAGAGGTTTTCAAGTTCAGAATCATATGCAAAGAAGATTTGGCTTCGCAGACGTCTCAAAAGAACGCGAGTATATTACACACTAGGCAAAGTCTGCCAATCTGCGAGATATATAGTATACATGCGTCTTGAACATAAGAAGATTAGAATACATTAGCTGAAAACATTAACGGGTACTCATGATTGCCGTCGTATCAGTTCTTTGTAGGAGTAGATAGGTGCGTAGTGAATGGAGTCATGCTGCTTCGGCGCCCTTCGACAAACAGGGCCGCATGGTAGCCTTCGATATCCCCGTCAATGCTTCCTTCAGTCTCCATGATTCTAACCATCTGAGGGCTTGTTGGGGTCGACAGGCTTGCGGGCGACTGTGGTTGCATGCTGTGCTCGAAACGCATTGGGTCGGGTCGAGTTCCGGCCGAGCTTGTTAAATGGCTGCTGGAGCCGTAGCTGCCGTCTTTCGATGCGCCGTTGCGCTGAAGGAGTGGACGTATAAGCGGAACGCATGCGAAAATGATTGCAGAGGTCGGTTCAGCAATAGAAAGGAGAGTCACTGGAGTGGACTGGTAGGATACATCAATAGAGCTAAAGGCTATGTGCGCAGTGACGATCTTGAAGATTGATATGGCGCTAGTACTGGAAGCGATGTCAGAATTTCTCAGGCCAGGCTAGGTGGCAAACTTTTAGCAGGATAATGGCGGCTACTTACATGATGCCGACTCCAAAGCTGGCATAAAGACCGATTTTCTGCCATTTGGTAACACGTAGTGGGCATAGAAGAACCATAGGCATCATGAAGATAACGATATCTGATGCAAGGTGTGTGGCTCCGGTGACGTAAGTGAGTGTCTGTGATGCTCTTATCGTCTCGGGGGCTGGAATCAAAACTCCCAGTAAAAGCTCCCTCATGACAACCCCATTAGCAACAAGCAATGCCACTGATATTAGTGACAATATTACTAAAAGAATGTCGCACAGGCGCGTTACGCTAGGCAGGCCGAAGGCTCGACGGTATTGTAGGAGAAACGTTGCTTTGATAAGGGCAAAAGAGAGATTATACAGCAACGAGACTATGGCGCCGTACTTTAATCCACAGTCAGTACTGTTGCAGACGTAGATATTTCTGAATGGAAAGCGACTTACAGACGAAACACCCTTGATGCTAGTAAGCGGCAATCTCCAGATGTGTGTACCTAGTCCATACACCGTCACCACTGGATCCAGGCAGTAACATTAGCACCATGTCAGGCTACAAAGTTGAATCGCCAGCATCAGCACTTACTGAGTAGTACCATCACACATTGTGCGATGGTGCAAATCTTGAGTCGAACGTAAGCAAAGCAACATAGCCTATTGGACTTTGTCGAACTCACAGAAGACAACATGAACATCGTATCGTCCCATTTCCAAGCTCTTCTCATCCTATAGCCTCGGATGTATATTCTGACGCCCATGAAGATGATGATGATCACTATGAAGCTCCAGACGAATCCATGGCTAAGAGATTGCCTGCTGTCCGACGGCAAGGACACCATTGAGGCCCTCTCTGGCGTTATGGGAGGAACCATCTTGTTGTTCAGCTTGGCGTGAGGGTGAAGCTGGAGGATTGAAACGCAGAGGGCGGCAGGGTAATTCAAAACCAAGTGTATTGTAAGGCCTGATGATGTTGTATCTGAATTATGATTCTGGCGTGTTTGGCCTAGTATGGTGGTTTGGCTGGCAAGATGGCGTTTCGGTACAGGACTTAATCGCAGAGACCCTACAAGCAGTGTTCGGGCAACATCAGAATGGATGAAGCCAAGAGAAGTGAT